CCCAGTTCCTGGAGCCACGCCCCCTTGCAGAGGCCATGCCCCCTCCAGAGGCCACACCCATTCCCAGTGCCACACCCTCTTATAGAGGCCACACCCATTCTGAGGCCACCCAGTTCCTGGAGCCACGCCCCCGTGCAGAGGCCATGCCCCCTCCAGAGGCCACACCCATTCCCAGTGCCACACCCTCTTATAGAGGCCACACCCATTCTGAGGCCACCCAGTTCCTGGAGCCACGCCCCCGTGCAGAGGCCATGCCCCCTCCAGAGGCCACACCCATTCCCAGTTCCACGCCCACTGTTCCAGTGTGTACTGCAGAGTGCATTGAATGCTATGCGTGTTTTAGGAATATTATCTAGAACATACATGTATACTTAGTGTATATTTTATGTCCATAGTATGTGCATGTGGATATGTAATCAGGGTCTTCAAAGAGCTCGTGCAGCTGTATGTGTGATGTCCCACCCTGTGCTAGAGTGCCTAGTGGGGTCTCGCCTGCTCTCTCCACATCCTGAGAGTGCATGGTGGACTGAGTACCTGGTTCCTTGCTACCCAAACAGGAGACTTGGGTGGGGTTCCAGGCTCCCGGCTTTGGCTTCACCAAGCCCTGGCTGTTGTGGGGCATTTGGGGACGTGATGCAGTGACTGAAGTTCCCTCCCTCTCTCCCTCCCTCCCTCCCTCTCTCTCCCTCCCTCTCTCCCTCTCCCTCCCTCTCTCCCTCTCTCTCTCCCTCCCTCTCTCTCTCTCCCTCACTCTCTCTGGATCATCCATCAACCATCACCATCCCTCTCTCAAAAGAAATCTTGCACTTATCATCAATCCATCCTTCAATTATTTGATGAGCCACCTGGATGAATTTCCCATACAAATGAAAATAAAAATGTAGAAAATACATGTTGAAAGGGTTAATGGAAATTATATTATGAAAACGTCTGCCCGGGTTCCGAAGTCGTCTACACCACTGTCAACTTCAATTCCGCCCCCAGCTTCCTGAAGCTCCTTATTGGGTACACGCCCGCTGCCGGTGCAGCACACTCAGCGTGCCCTGAGCTCACGCAGGTGCGCGGGGCTGTGTGCTCCGGGGAAGGCCATGGCTTCTCTCCCCGTCACCACGGTAGGCACATCCTCAAGCATAAATCCACAGTCGAGCGTCTTTGGAAGTCAAGTGCGCTGTTTATCTCCACATAACGGGGCTGTCAGTGTAACCTGTATTTACTGAACCACAGTCGTTATAAATTCCGTTAATGAACGTGGGGAAGTGGGTTGTCATACACGAAGGGGAAATTAGCATTTGGTTCAGGCCCAGTGGAGCCAATGGACTCGCGTTTTCAGAACTCCCCTAATGGTTCCTGACCCTGCGACCTACAGCTCTGAGCTGAGTGTTTCAGAATCGCTAACTGAACACACACCAGGTTCCGTGAACACTGTGCTGCCTCTCCCAGGGGCGGCCTCCCCGTTTCCTGCATATCTTCACATCTGCTGTCCACACCCCACACGGAGCCCACACAGTGTGGGCCACACCCGGAAATAGGACCTCCTGTGTGGAAAGACCCTGTGTCCTGCACTGAATCTTAGAAGTTTCCCTCAGCAATGATGCTGGAAAATAGTTTTGTGTAGCAAGAAATGCTGGGTCTTTCACGGGTTAAACTAGCCAGTGTGTCCTTTCTCAAGAATTTGAAAACAATTCATTGTAGCAACATCATCTGAATTCCAAATGACCTACTTATGAATAAAATTTAAGAAAAACATAAGCCCATTATACATCACAAAAGGCCTGTGTACTGACACTTCTGCGTAATAGAAAGATTGCCAAAGTCAGGCTGATGACCTATTTATTTAGAGCAAATTTGATTCAATAAAATTCCAGTGCACAGTAATTGGAACAGCCTATGAATTCATCTTCATATAATAGGAGCTATCTGCAGTGAATTGGACTTCCTGTACCAGCTCATCTGTGCATGCAATTTGGCTTTCTGCAGGCTGCAGTCAGAACTAATTTGCTGAGTTTCAGCCAAGTCTCCCGACGGTCAGGTGGCCTCCTGGCCTGGGCACGCACGGGCTTCTTCGAAAGGTTGTCTGATAAGGTCGCTATTTAAAACACAAAACGTCTTTGCACGTACATGATGCTACCTGTGAAGAATATGCACTACACACGCAGGCCCAGGAAGCAGGTCCCCTGTCCCAGTGGACTGGTCAAGGCAGGGGAGTGCCCGCTGGCCCAGCACCACCTTGGCTTCCGCAAGTCCCCAAGCCAACTCCTGGGATGCAGCATGTGGTGGGAAGCACTGCTGAGGTCTCGCAGTCAGGGAACGCAAAGCTCCACCAACACCAGCACAGGGCGAGGCCCAGTGGACGCCTGGTCCAGGCGCCATCACGAAACAGCCCAGTTCAGAAGCGGGCAGAGGACATGAACAGGCGTCTCCCAAAGGATGAGATGCAAGTGGCCAGCAGACACTTGGAAAAAGTGCTCGGGATCACCAGCCATCAGGGAGATGCAAATAAAAACCACAAGGAGAGGGCGTCTCACTCTCGTTAGTTCTCACCCGAATGTCAAACAACAGCAAATGCTGGCGAGGATGTGGAGACAAAGGCACCCTATAGACTGCTGGTGGGAACCCAAGTTGGTACAACCGTATGGGAATAGTCAGGGTCCTCAGAAGAGTACCAGTAGACCTGCCGCAAGGCCCAGCGACATCCCACTCCTGGGAATGTACCCAAGCGGAATTCAATCAGCGTCTGAAAGCGCTACCTGCACTCCCACGTTTATAGCAGCTCAGTTCACGGCAGCTAAGACAGGAAACCCACCGCATGTCCATCAGCTGGTGACTGGATAAAGATGTGGTGCACATTCACGATGGAATAGTATTCAGCCCAGAAAATGGAATCATGACATTCCTAACAAAATGGCTGAAACTGGAGATGGTTACGCCGAGTGAAATAAGCCAGACCCAGAAGACAGACATCACGTTTCCTCTTCCTTGTGGTCATTCATTTATAGACGAGGGCAAGACCTGCACGGAGGCCATGGCCTCTGGTCTGTAGTTACACTACTGCCCGCTGAGTCATCCCAGCGTGAGAGGGTTCTTCACACTGAAAACAGGTGGAGGGGGGGTGGTGAGGGTCTTGGGGAAGGACTGCTGTTTTGTTCTTAGTTGGGTGTCGGTGACAAGCTTGATCGGAGGAACAAAACCTCACTTGTACCCTTTACGTGCACTTCTTGGTGTGTAACCTGCATTTCAATAAAACGTTTAAAAATAATTTAGAAAGACAAAGAACATTCGCCAGCAGTGAGGCGAGACAGGGCCTGTAAAGGGGTGTGTGTGCTGGGGCCTGTAGCACAGCCAAGCCAAGTGCCCGGGGTGGGGGTCTCCCGTCAGCAGGGGCCCTCCCAAGCCCCAGGTCCCCACGGCAGCCTGCCACGTGGGCCTCTCCTCCATGAGAAGGGAGTGTTCTGTGTCGGGGCAGTGCCCCCTTCACCTCGCCCCTGCAGCACAGGCCAGGCTGAGTGCCCAGGGTGGGGGTGGGGGAGTCTCCTGTCAGTGGAGGCCCACTGAGGCCCAGGTCCCCACTGCAGCCTGCCACGCGGGCCTCTCCTCCGTGAGAAGGGAGTGTTCTGTGTCAGGGCAGTGCTCCCCTCCCCGCCTCGCCCCTGCAGCAGGTGACCTCACTCGCACGCCGTCACCTGGATGTGCCGAGGCTGGAGCCGGGGGTTTGCGCAGGGTCCCCCGGGCACACTGTGGGCCGTAGCCCCTGGGCTCCCCCAGCTTCCTGCCTGCCCAGGCCCCCTCAGAGGGCTTCGAGCTTCCCTTGGCTTCACCCCTGCCTGTTTTTCCAAGGTGAGTGTGTGACTCAGTCCACACTCACGGCGCAGCCCTCGTACCAGAGTTCCTGTCCGTGCAAGTTTGCTGCAGCCTCAGACACACCAGGGCGTGTGGGAGCCAGCGCTGCCTGCCTTGCCCACGCAGCGTCCGGAGCACCCGATGGGCTGATGTCTTGGGGACAGACCCTGGGGACTGCCATCCACCCCTCCGAGACATAAGGGCTCTGGGGGGCACGGAGCCCACTTACCGTGGTGAATATTTTAGCTGATGTTGAAGTGAGGACAGATAACGTGGCGTGGACCGGGCAGTGTTGACGGGCAGGGAACGTGACCACGTGCCCCCGAGTCGACTCTATAAAGTTCGCGGTGAGGCGGAGGAGGAGCCCGGCATTGTCACACCCGTGCAGCGGCCAGGAGCTGGCCCACGTCCTGGCTCACCTGCTCTGGCGTCCATCCACCCGGGGGGATTAAAATGGGGCGGAGCTCAGAGGGCCTTGGGAGAATGAAATGAGACAACGATGATGAATGTAGATGAGCGGTTCACGGCAAGCAGTCAGTAGCGGTCACGGTGGTGCCTGTTACCGACCCCATTCAGGTGATTTTTATGGCAGGAGCCATGGCACATGCTGGCCTCACACACGGGCACTGTGTCAAGTCCTGCCTGCTCCTCTTCTAATCCAGCTCCCTGCTGTGGCCTGGGAAAGCAGTGGAAGATGGCCCAAGTCCTTGGGACCCTGCACCCATGTGGGAGACCCGGAAGGAGCTCCTGGCTCCTGGCTGGCACAGCCACGTCATTGAGGCCATTTGGCAAGTGAAGCAGCAGATGGGAGATTTCTTTCTCTCTTCCTCTCTCTCTGTAATTCTGCCTTTCAAATTATTAAGTAAATACATCCTTTAGAAAAAGAAAGCGTTTACATTATGGGTGTAAACTGCATGTGCACACTCTGCTCCTGTGTGGCTCTCACACCACTGGCTGTGGTGTGCTGCCGTGGCTCCTTCGTTAAAGGAGACCTGGCACAGGTGGATGGAGGGGGATGGCGAATTTGGGTTTGACTCCTCTATGTCGTGAGCCTACACCTGCAAGGCGGCTGTGTGTGAGTCAGTCCCCCGGCCCCCCCAGAGCCAGCAGGGTCCCGGGGAGTCCCCAGAGCTGACGTGGACCTGCGCTTACTGTCCCCACAGGGCCAAGGTGAAGAAAGGGGTGAGGATCACTGGGGTGAGAGCCAGCAGCCCCGCCGTGTGGGACGTCAGGCAGAGTTCCGAGTCTACTGCCAAGTATGCACCAGCTGTCATCGTCTGTCGGAAGAAATCAGCTGGCCCGGAAGACAGGTGAGTCCCACTTGGCCCTCGCAGCCTTCGGCTCGCGGCCTCTGCCTCCGAGAGCTGCCGACACCGTGCCTGGGGTTCTTAGTGCTCCGTGTGAGAGCTTGGGGGAAGCTCGCCCGTTCTCCACCGTCGACCTGCCTAGAGCGCTTCTGGTGGGTTGGTTGGTTGGTTACCAGGAAGCGCTGGGAATGGTTTTGGGAATGATGTGGTTTGGGTTTCCCTGTGTGCTCTTTGGCCGGATGTTGGTGCCTGAGACTGGGATCTCAGCGGCTCCGTGTCCCCGTGCAGATGGAATCGTCCCTGCTGTCCCCTCCTCCACGTGGTCATCTCGTCAAGGGAACCCGAAGTCTGGGCGTCCCAGATAAAACGGCCCATTGTGCAAGTGTCAAATGGTGCCCTCCGTGTTGGCCGTGTGAACTTCAGGACCGCGTGTGTGACTGTCCGTGTGCGGGCGTTCTCTCGTGGTGCTGCAGGATTTCCCAGGATGGGCAGTCCCTGGGCGGGAAAGGGAAACCGAGTCTGTCTCTGTGCCCAGCCAATCAGAAGCAGCCCATCCAGAGCTGGGCAACGGGAGGCTTGGGAACTCGGTGGCTCCGTCCGGGCCCCTCTCCTAGAGTCTCAGCCGTGTCACTCTCCTGGTACAGAAAATTTGAGCAGTCAGGTAAGGACAAGTCTCGGAGGGAACCTGCTATTCCTGGAGTACGTTCGCGGACGTCCCGGCTTCATTTTGGGAAAGAGGTGCATTGTCCAGGATGTAGGCACAGGGGCCGTGCGTCTCTGCGGGTGCCCATCCCGCCGCTGTGGGAGAGCGAGGTATCGCCGGTGAGCACTTGGAGCAGTGGGAGGAGGCTTTCTGGGCTCCCCCGGATGCTCCCGTCCGTCCGGACCCTTCCTGGCGCTTGGTGTTTGGAGGTCGACTCTTCCTCGGTGAAGTGCTAGGGGGCAGTTAAGAGGTGAGGGGGAGGTTTGTGCTGGTCCTGCCCTCGGTGTTCACTCTGGTGACCCCGGTGCCCTGGCAACACAGCACAGTTCCCGTGGCCGTGCCAGTGATGTGATTTGGGACACGAGGTCTCACCCTAATAAAAGGTTTATTTTATGTTGTGTTGTCAGCAGAAATTAGGATACATGGATGATGGGCAGACAGAAGGGTGGGTGGATGGATGGCGGGGTGGCCTATTTTTTAACAGAATGAGAGGACGAACTGTGGTTCTGTGTGTCTGTGGAATACGCCGGGATTTGTTTGGATCCTTGAAGAGCACTTCCGGTTTTATTTTGCTTTTGAATTTCTTTCAAGATTTAATTCACTTCCTCCTGGGCATGGCCAGGGCAGTGCAGAGCTTTGCGTGGGCAGCTCCTCCTCACTGAAATGTCAGGTGCCTTTCAGTGGAGCTTCTAGAAGCTTCCGGCACCTCCAGCACGCATCCAAACACACAAGTGCATCCGCTTGACATTTAGTTTTCCTTCTTCCCATCCTTACGGAAGAGCTGCCCTGGACGGAACATCAAGCTGTCACAGGCGCTGGGGGAGCGCGCCTCACCCCCAGCTGGAGGCCGATGCCAGTGTGTTCTTTCCTCCTGGGCCCAGAGGAGGGGGAAAACGCTGTAGACGTGCACACGTCATGTGTGCATGGGATAAAGTGTGTGTGCACACAGTGATGCACCTGTATACACGCTGCAGCGCTGTGTGTGCACACGTGTGTACACATGCATGCACACATGTGATTGCTCGTGCATTCATGTCGGGGTTTTGCTGCAGTGTTTGAAGCCTGGTTCTTGCCGTGCATCTTAGAAAACTTTGCTGAGCGAGGATTCTCTGGAGTGGACGCTTCTCCAGTCTGGGCTTCGGGGCCTCGCGTGCAGCTGAGCGCCTGACCCCTGCAGGTGCGTCTGGTCCTCAAGGCCGTCCATGCCTGCTGCCCGGCACTGCTCTGGGATTGGGCTACCTCCCTCATACCACGCGTGTCTCGATGCAACTTGGTGTGGTCCCCAGTATGCCTGCCCACGAAAGTAAGGAGTGTGGGCTGTGCGTGCAAGCTGAGCGTAGGCCCCGGGCCGCCACTCGAGGCCGGCAGCTGGAGTTTCTACAGGGGAGGTTGGCGGGGAAACGAGCCACTGGCCTGTGTGGGTTGTCGCCGCGTGTGCACATCACCTATGTAATGTATACGTGGAAATAGGGGCTGTGTTCAATTCAGTGTTTTCAATAGTGTGTTCCACTTCCAGATTCACTTCAATTGTCTTCATTTTAATCCTGTCTTTAGAGAATTAAATGGAGGAAAACCCAGCTCGCTGTTTGAGGTTGGGATGGGTTGGGATGAGACTTGCTTCCCCAAAGGATGAGGGATTATTACAGAGTGGATGTCTTCATAGCGTGCGGTCAGCTTCAGAGCTGGTCTCTATAAACTCCTCCCACTCTGCGCACGTGTCAGTGGGAACGCAGGGCAGGCGCCGTCCTTAGCTGGAGAGCCGTGGATTCTGTGTTGCTGATAATTTGCCACGGATCAGGAAGCTGTGTTAATGAGGTCAAGTCGCTGTGACAGGTGTGATTTTACGGATTACGGAGGCCCTTTTGTGCCGCGATCAGTTCAGCAGGAACGCTATGCGAGCTGGGACACGCCCCTGCTGTCTGAGACTCTCCGAACGATGTTAACATCTGAGTGTGACCGCAGCCACCAGCGCTGTTCCGACTGAGTCCTGTAGCACACGTTTCAGAACAGCTAATTGCGCCCTGTCAGTCAAAGCTGGGCTGTCAGAGCCTGGCTCAGCACAGCACTGTGACAACTTGGATAAATCTGTAACGGAAGCCGTAGGCTCCACCGCCGTTCCCTCCTGCACAGTCACGGTGGGTGTAGAATGGCAACGGTTACACCAGAGCTTGATTGAGGACATTTAAATGATGGGCATTCACATTCCTTCCCCCAAGACTCGGGGTCCAGAGAAGTCCATTTCTAGAGGGTCTGGGAGACTTGAAACTTCCGGGTTTGCCGGTCAGTGGTCGAGGGGGGAGGGCACCGAGCTGGAGTCCAGCCTCTTTCTCAGGATTGGCGTGTGTCTGTCCTGTGCGATGCTCACTATTATATACAAAGACACACGTTTTGAGTAGTAACACGAGCTTCCGTTGGTGAGCGTAATCAGTATTTATGTGTACAAGCATTGAGGAACACATCGCGAGCCGCACATCTCAGCATTAGGCTATCCGCTCGATTTTCCGTATCAAGTAAGAGTGCTGAGACAGGACAGATGCGTTTCTATCTTGCAGCTCCTCAGTGCTGTGAGGGTCCCGGCACCTGCCAGTCCTCGGTGCTGTGCTGACGCATGGCCTCAGCCACATCTGCTAAGGTGACGACGAGAGCGCCAGCCATCGCATCAGCATGGCAGGCCAAAGACCGCGCAAGAGCGTGACGTCGCAACGTCCGAGCTGGGTCCGCTCCTCTCTACACCCCATTTCTCTCTTCCTCTTGTCGGTCACAGTTCCTCTTCTTGTTTGATTAAGCTGTGGTCACGGGTCACACCAGACTTAAACAGACACACACCAAAGCGGGGAAGGCGGTTTCCTGCAGGCAGTGTTCCAGGCTCAGAGTCGCGCAGAACAGAAGAGCAGGCTGACGGGCTGGGCACCGGCGCCCTCAACTCGGGGATTTGCAGGCAATGCCGTGGGGTCTCCAACAAGACGAGGAAAGAGCTCAGCCGCTAATGATCTCTGTCACTCTCCCAGGTTCCCATGGAAACGCACAGGAGCGCCACGCTGGAAAAGGCACCGTGAATATGACAGAAACCTAGAGAAGCGTCCGCTTGGGAGCAGGCAGGCCTGGGCGCGGGAGGGCGCGAGTTCGCCGGGGGCAGTGGGATCTTCCGCACACATCTTCCGGGGGATCCGGGACGCGAGACACAGGTGAGGCCCGGATCTTAGCGCTAGGTCCTGTTACAGCTGGGCAAGCACCTGTCAGAGCCGGGGGCTGCGTCACCGGCAGGAACTGCTGAGTCACTGGGATGAAGGAGTCATTTTGGGGCAAAGAGAAAATCCAGACACATGCAAGAAAGAATTTATGTTTTTAGGAAATAAGGGTTTTTTTTTAGGAAATACCTTTAAAAAAAAAAAGACAGTTTCCCTCATGGTATAGAGATGCTATGAGAGCCTGGTCAATAACCTTGATTGAGTGAAATGCGCATGATATAAGCGACAGATCAGCAGCAAGGAGCCACCAGAGGCAGGAAAGGTGTTAGGCGGCTGACAGATGCAAGGCCATGAGAGGCTGAACCTGCGGAGAAAGAGGAACTTTAAGAGGGGGGACTGAAGACTGAAAGAAAGAGGAATCCCTGAAACCAACAGAGGAGATCAGACAGAAGAGGGGCAGCGGGAACAGGCAGAGGCAGCATGCAGTTCCACCTCTGGGCTCACACACGGGAGACCTGCAGAGCAGCGTTCCTACAGACCCTGGACACGGACTCCCACAGACCCCGGACACGGACTCCCACGGACCCCGGACACGGACTCCCACGGACCCCGGACACGGACTCCCACAGACCCCAGACACGACTCCCACAGACCCCGGACACGGACTCCCACAGACCCCGGACACGACTCCTACAGACCCCGGACACGGACTCCCTCAGACCCCGGACACGGACTCCCACAGACCCCGGACATGGACTCCCACAGACCCCGGACACAGACTCCCACAGACCCCGGACACGACTCCCACAGACCCCGGACACGGACTCCCACAGACCCCGGACACGACTCCCACAGACCACGTAAACGCACCTCCTACAGACCCCGGACACGGACTCCCACAGACCCCGGACACGGACTCCCACAGACCCCGGACACGGACTCCCACAGACCCCGGACACGACTCCTACAGACCCCGGACACGGACTCCCTCAGACCCCGGACACGGACTCCCACAGACCCCGGACACGACTCCTACAGACCCCGGACACGGACTCCCACAGACCCCGGACACGGACTCCCACAGACCCCGGACACGGACTCCCACAGACCCC